TTTACTTGTTTATTTGTTTACTTGTTTGTTTGTTTACTTGTTTATTTGTTTACTTGTTTATTTATTTATTTATTTGTTTATTTGTTTACTTGTTTATTTGTTTATTTGTTTATTATTTATTTACTTATTTGTTTATTTGTTTGTTTATTATTTATTAATGGGATAGGGTCTCCTGCTTGAGCAAGGGGCTGGACTAGAAGACCTCCACGGTCCCTTCCAGATCCGCTCTGATCGAGATCCCCCACATTGACAGACCTCAGAGGGAATGACTGGCGCCCTCGCCCAAGATGGCCTCCCCGCCAAGCCTCTGCCCATTCCAAAGATGGCGCCGGCGTCCGCCCCGCCCCCTCCTCGCGACGTCACGCCGCCGGAGCCCCGCCCCCCAGCCGCCAAAATGGCGCCGTCTAGTGGCGGCCTCGCGCGGTCTTCGCTCTTCGCCGCCGCCGCCGCCGCCTCCATCGCTGCCGCCGCCGCGAGGGGTGCCCAGGCCGGCCGGGTGAGGTCAGTTCCGGGGTGGGGCGTCGCCGCGGAGTGGTGCAATGAGGGACTGAGGGGCGGACAAAAGACGGAGCTCCGCCGCGGGAGGCGCCACCAGGTGGGTGCGGGGGGAAGGACAGGAGGGGAGGGGGCGAGGGGGGACCCCCCCCCACTTCCCGCAGACGGGAGCAGTAACCCCGTTGGGAAGGGCAGACCTGGAAAGCTTGAGGACTAGGAACTTGGCTCAGGGGCTATGGGGCAGGGGGCGACGGGGGGTGGGGTGAGAGAGGGAGGGGGGACAAAAAGAGGGGAGGGAAGAGAAGGAGGGAGGGGTGGGGGGGAGCCCCGCACTCGCAGACTCGCCTCTTTGCCCCCCCTCCCCCCGAACAGTGCAGGCTCAGGACCCCTGAGGACTAGTAACTTCGTTAATAGAAGAGAAGAGGCGTTTTCCCCCTCCCCACATTTCTGGTTTCCTGGGACCCCTGATTTTGGGGAGTGGGGGGGTGTTTGGACAGGCAAGGACTTGGCGGGGGTGGGGAGGGGGGGGGCTGCTGTGCCCAGCCACATGGGCGGGAGGCAGACCTTCAAGAGGACTAGCGACCTGGCTGGTTTGATGCCAGGCTGGCTGAAGCGGCTCCGTGGGATGAGGCAAAGGGGGCTCTGGACCGGCTTCCTTGGGAGCCCTGCGGGGAAGCAAGTGGGGAGTTTGGGGAGAGGCGGGGAGGGGGGGAGGGGG